AGTGCAATCATAAAAGTATTTGTCCTTTTGTGGCTAGCTTATTTCACTTAGCATAATGTCTTCAAGGGTCATTCACATTGTAGCATATGTCAGAATTTCCTTCCTTTTTAAGGCTTAATAACATTCCACTGTATGTACATATCATACTTTGTTTATCCATTGATCTGTGTGTGGACACTTGCTGCGCACATGTTTCTTATTAAATGTAGTCTAAAATCACAAGGCAAAACAGTGCTTATATGTGAAACATATATTGCAGCCAAGTCATCAAAGTTGTTTAAATCACAGTTAATGTCATGCTATTAGGCACACTCCTTGTGCTATCAAAAGTTAAAACATAAAGCAAGATCTCCATTCTCATATAAATTTGGAGTGGATTTCTCTGACTCAAAATACAGTCCCAGCAATGTTTTCTGGACCTCACTGTTAAGTGCAAAAAATTTTTCTGTATTTAACTTAATTTCACAATTGAGGAGCTTCCACCTGTCAATCAGATGTGATTAATTTACAATGTAATAGTATGATAAAAGGTGAGTATCAAGAGAATATAACAATTCTATTACTGCCCTTCAGGTGATGAATATACTCAATTAAAATAATATGCTTTGGATTGGTTATCAGTATTTGGCTGTGTTATCTGTGTGAAGACATTTTCAAAAATGAAATATGTAAAATATCATTACAAATCAGCATTAACAGATAGACATTTGCAATTGGTTTTGATGGTAGGGAACACTAACTTTGAATCCCAATTAAGCAGAAGACCTGCATTACAAAAAAATTGTACTCAATTATATTTTGAATTCTGTCAATAAAAAATTTGATGTTAATTTTTCTGTACTTATGTAAATACTTTATTTTGCTTATTGGCACACAAACCCTAACACTTACCATCTTGTCCCTTGTAGATTTGCCAACCCTGATCTAGAAGAACACTGGACAATTATATCAGGCTGCCCATTGGATACCTGTAGTCATTCAAACAAAAAACTTTCATTCACTCCCGAATTCTTCTATTCTTGTATTTCACTCAAGAAATGGCCTTTAGTTCAATTGCTCAAGCCAAAACGCTAGAAGTTTTCTTTGATTTTTTTATTTTCCCACAATCTCTACATTAATCTGTTAGAATGTCCTGTGTCATTCCCACCTCCAAATATAATAGCTTCAATCCATCTACTTCTTTACATATCTGCTGCTTTAACCAGCATTACTGAAATAGTTTAATTGACCTCCTTGCTTCCACTCTTGCTCCCTAATGATGCAATATTCACTCTGTAGCCAGAGTAATTTCTTTAAGATGTTACTCCCCTACATTAATCTCTTTATTGCCTTCCCTTTGCATTAAGAATAAAATCCAAATTCCTCATCACAATCTGAAGGGATTTAAACAACCCAGCCCCAGCCCACTTATTCAATTATGTCTGCAATGGACTTAATGTTTGTACCCCTTCCCATCCCCAATTCATATATTGAATTCCTAACCCCCAATGTGATATTAGGAGGGAGGGCCTTTGGGAAATGATTAGGTCATGAAGATGGAGCCCTCATGAAAGGGATTAGTGCCCTCATAAAAGATAACCCAGACATGTCTGGTGTGGCTCAGTGGATTGAGTGCCCTACCTGGGAACCAAAGGGTTGCTGGTTCACTTCCTAGTCAGGGCACATGCCTGGGCTGTGGGCCAGGTTCCCAGTAGGGAGTGCTTGAGAGACAACCATCTCCCTTTCTTCCTCCCTTCCTCTCTCTAAAAACAAAGTAAATAAAATTTTTTATAAAAGATAATCCGAAGAGCTCCCCCTTTCTCTTCCTGCCATGTGAGGATATAGTGAGATGAAGGTCTATGAACCAGGGAGCAGGTCCTCGCAACACAAAATCTGCAGATGCTTGATCTTGGACTCCCCAGCTTCCAGAACTGTGAGTTATAAATTTCTGCTGTTTATAAGCTACACAGTCTATGGTATTCTGTTATAGCATCCCAAGCAGACAAAGACAAAATCTCATTCCTCTCCAGGTGCACTGATCTCCTTGTCAAACATACCCTTTCTCTTTCTTGACTTTTGCACCTGCTGAACACTTTACAGGAACCATCTTCCTTGCTCTGCTTTCATCTCTGGGTCTTTCTTTTCCTTTGGATACTAGATCAATGTGCATAGTATGCCTTCTTTTTCTGTTACTCTCCACATTATTACCTGGTTTATTTCCTTTACAGCACTGGAATGTAATCTTATGAGGGCAAGCAACATCTGCCATGCCCAAAATAGCACCTACATGTAATGGGTAATAGTGGATAGCTGGCAAATACTTACTGAATAAAGGAAATTCCAAGAAAGTCTCATGATATGGGAAAATAAGAGCTGGTAGAGCACAAAACAGAACTTCTAATGATGAGGGAGAGTTATAGAGGAAGTGCTATTTAAACTGGTATCTAATGAAAGTAGGAATTATTCTATCAAGCGCTATTTCTAGGTAGGTAACTATTCTAAGTAGAGAGATGAGCAAGAGAAGCAGGAAAAGGGGAGAGGCCTAGGGGAGACAGTAGTGAGCAACAAGATCAGATCATTTGGACTTCATGAAAGAGCAAGAGGAAGCAAATGAAATGTTTATGTTGAAGAACTGGTGAAACAGTACTTTTTTGCTTTAGAAAGATCACTCTAGCCATAGTGTGTAGAGTGAAAAATAGAGGGAAGCAAGACAGAAGACAACCAGTTAGGTTAACAGTAGCAGTAGTGAGAATGAAAGAATGCATCAATTTGAAATATTTGGGAAATAGCACTGGGACGACATGTATGGGAGGTGAGACAGGTCTTAGGGACAATCCTAGGTTTCAGTCTTGGGTATTTGGGAAGATGATGGAACTCTTACTACACCTGGAAAAAGCAGAGAAATAGCTGGCTGGAGATGGAGTAGAGTACTTTAGACATGTTAGGTTTGAAATGTCTAGAAGTATCTACATAGATAGTTCAATATTTGTCTCTTAAGCCATAATCCAAGGTCCAAGCCCTGGTGATACCTTCTGCTCTTCTTATCAGTGCCTGGTACACAGCAAGCATTTATTGTTGATGGAAGGAAAGAAGGAATCTAAGAGGGTCTGGGGGCGCCTGGGAAATTGGAGATATAAAATTAAGGGTCATCAGTTTTTAAACGGTTTAACTCAGAAAAGTGGATACAAACCACCCAGGAGCGTATAAAGTTAGACGTTGAAAAGAGCCTTGAAGAACTCTAGCATTTATCAAAAGGGTAATAGCAATGAGAACATCTAATCCTTACTGAGTGCTGTATGCCTCCTTTCCCTTTTAGTTGAAAATATTTCCCCTTTATGTAAGTGATCCCTGAGAGAAGCAACTCCAGCAAAGGTGTGGGTAACTAATATTCCTTCATAATAGTTAACATTTATTGAGTTTACAGAGTGCAAAGCACTGTTCTGGGCATTTTACATGTATTCTCACAAACCTATGAGCATGATTAACTGCAAATGAGAAACTACACAGAGTGAAGACACAGGACACAGGGGATAATTACATGAGCAAAGGTTCTGGGAAGGGGTGAGCCTTGGACAGTAGGAGGAACATCTCTTCCACTAATGGAGGAAAGGACAGAGGCAGAAAGGTACGCATTTGTTTAAAATAAATTCACTCATCATGAAAACGGTTTTCTGTACAATACCTAATAACTTTTAAAATAAAATTCTAACATGGTGTTTTAATTGGCTTTACAGAGTAATAACATAAAGTGTTATGGGGATTAAGGAAAGGACAGACACAATTTTGCCTTAAGTTCAGAGGGCAGAGGTGGGCAGTTTCAATATATCTTGAATACCTATTAAGTGCCAGGTATATCTGAGGCTTTAAGGATCCCAAGTTGGGATCCTAACATGTAGTGATTGTCTGTGGTGGGTCTCTGTCCTATGGTGTGGCCAGCAACCATTTCCCACTCTTCTATCCCAGGACTTCCAACTGCTCCCTGAGGATTCCATGTCCACTCTGTTACTTTGATCAAACATATGATAAAGGTGCTCTGGCAAGAGTTCTCATCTGGGAAATTTTGAGTGACACAAGAAATAAGAATGACTGGGTCATTATCCCAAAACATATCACCTGAAGAGATTCCCAGGACGTCCTGTTCCCTGGACTCTCAGATGTGACCCGGGTCTTGTCCTTGCAAAGGCTGATCCTTCATGTCTTCCTTCCATTTCAGGACCCACTCCACATCCTTTCATAGAGTCCTCTTTCGATAAGGTTAAGTTAGAGCAAGCTTCCATTGCTTGAAACCAAAGGATCCTGGCCAATGGACATAGCTGCCTATGAAGTGTGCCAAAAGAATGGCAGGAGGGTGGGACAGCAGTAGATTGCAGACTGGAACATACTCCCTGGCCCCTTTCCCAGTGTGTTCACAGTCCTTAATGGTACCATGGCATGGCTCTTTTAGAGAGGCTGACAAGTACCAGATGCAATTCACCTTCTCAGCCATAAAGTCACAATTTTTAGCCTCCTTGGGGTGCCATACCTAGTAACTTTTGAGGAATATTCTTTAGGTAAGTGAAGTTGTGACTTCAACTCAAATTCACCATTTCCACATCAGTTCCATCACCCAAACCCACTGCCTTACTCTAGCACACAGACTTCTTTGTGAAACCTTTGCTGACCTATAATAGGTCTTGGCTCAGCTTCCTTTGTGCCACTACAGTAGCTAGTACTGCCCACTATCATGGACTTATCATACTACATTGTCATTACTTGTCTAGCTTCAGTAGTAGCTGGGAACTCCTTGAGGGCAGAATATAAATCAGGGCCTGGCACAGTGCTTTGCACTAAATGTTTGTAGAACCAACCATTATACAAAATACATGAACAATATTATAGGTAAAGATCATATAAACCAAACCCTTTAAGAAAAGGCAGAGAACCAGTAAGGAGATACACACCACCCCACCAAAGAAAAAGTAAGAGTTCAGACTCTGAAAGATAAGGTAACTTACCAGAGGTTACTCAGTGGCAAGCCTGGGCCTAAAATCTAACACACTGAAGTCCAGAACTGTTTTCTCTGCACCAGTGTGCAACTACCCTATTCTTTCCCCATCAACATAACCGATCTGTAAAACACATCCAAGTCTTGGCAACTTTTTCACATTCTCTCTCCCACAGTCAGTTCAGTCCATTGCCAGCTCTCTATTTCAGGGCAAATTTTATTTAAAGAAATTAAGTAACCTGCAACAATCTCCCCACTTCAAAAGCTGCCCTTCTACCTGTCAACCAAGGGGCTGTCATGTACAGATGGGGGAATGGGAAGGGGATGTGGTCCCACTATGCCGTTACTCTCCAGCCTTCAGTATGTGCTTTCTCAGCCCTGAATCCCTCTGAGCAAAGCCACTTGTTCAGAGCAGTGGTGCTACCTTGAGAGCATTTTAGGTCAGTGGCCATTCTCTGAATTCACTGATCACATTCCAGTCATTGTAATCAATGTATGAGTGATAAGTAGTGGCCAAAAGTAGACAAGTGGCACAGGCTGTTGAGAAAATACCTTCTATTAAAGAGGGTTCTAAGAATGACATATGGAATGTTCAACTTGTTAAAGTGCTCAACTACAACATAAAAATAAAGGTGTTGGTTAGATATCTACTGGTTAAGAAAGCAAGTTATAATCTGATGGGCTTCCAGAAAGACATAACAAGGGAAGTACATAAAAAAGAACTCTGCTCACATTTCAGCAATGATGAGGGAAAGAAAAGCTTAGAGTTTAGTCTCTGAATTACTAGAACTCTAAATCAAACATATCTCTAGATGGAGACCAGCTCCTTTGACTCCTCATGGAGACTGAATGAAACCTTTATTATGCCTTTTTGCTCTACCTCTTCTCCAAATAAACTTCTAATCTAAAATCTGGTTTCCTGTATGAAAAGGTCTATTATGGGTAAATGACCAATTAAATATGACCTGTAAGGTGATTAATAAAAACCTGGGAATGAGAAATCTGAGATTCCAAATCTGCTAGGAACAAGAGGTCCATAATATATCTATCCTCTTGGCATGATTACAAGATCCATGATTGGGGTGCTATGGTAGAGAGGGTAAGTATCCATCAGCAGCATTGGCTCTCTTGTCCTAGTTAATGTTAATGGCCTCAGTAGTCATTTGTATGTCCAGTGAGCTGTGGCCCAGCCCTGGCCCTTGCACAGGTCCCGGTGGCGAAGGAAACAGGCATGGACTCGGAACCGACGACCACAATGGGGACAGGCATGCAGGGCTCCTGCATGGGTCTTCATATGCTCTGTCAGATGGTGCTTCAGTTTGAAGCGCTTGTTGCAGATGCCACAGCCAAAGGGCCGAAGGCTGAAGGTCAGCATAATGTGCCGGTCACGCTTTGGTTTCACTGCAAACCGCTTCCCACATAAGCAACCAAAGCATTTTCCATCTGCAGGGGGTGTCCCCCCTAACTTCACAGGCCCATGAACAGCCTGCCCTGTTCCTCCAGGTCCCCCACCCCCAGACAGGATTTCATTCCCGTGAAGATCCACTGGTTTCCAAGATGGACCTCCACCTCCTCCTCCTCCTCCTCCTCCTCCTCCTCCAGATGTTGTCCCTGCTCCTGAGAGTGTCAAGAACCCTAGCTCTTCAGTCCCTTCAGTGTCCCCTTCAGGAAACATGGTGTTCTCCTCCTTTACTCCTCCAGCCTGAGTTCCACCTCCTGATATCTCCTCCTTAGGCTCAAAGGGTTCCTGCTTAATGTAGAAGATTTTGGGGGGTGGTGCAGAAGAAGGGGTAGAAGGTTCAAGTGGTGCACTCTCATCCTCCGGAAGCCTACGGGGAGTAGCAGATATGGGCAGTGGGTGGGATCCATGAGAATGGGGAACCCCTGATATTCTCACAGGTTGAGGAGTCTGAGAGAGTGCTGCTGACCCCTGGTCTTCATCATCATCATCTTCCTCCTCCTCCTCAACTTGAATCCGTAACACATCTCCCAGTTCACTCCCCTCTCCTCCAACGGGGTTCTGGGTAGAAGCAGAAGATTGCACAGGAGTCTGGAAAGGGGAAGAGCGAATGCACCATCCTCCTGCTGAAGATGTGGTGGAAAAAAGTGTGTGATAAGGTGTCGCTCCACGGGTTGAAATTCCACCACCTGAGGTTTCTAATTCTCTAAGAATCTCTGAGCACTGATCTACTACTTGCCACATTTGGAGGCCACTAGCCACGAGGAGGTGGGCAGGGAGAGCATCCAGTGGCAGGCGGAGGCGCCCTGAATAAATGAGTTGGAGCAGCCCCTCAAAGGCATCAGCTTCAATGACGCTGGGCAGGGTAAGACGTGGCGCATCCCCTAGGAGAAGCTTGTCATGGAAGTAAGGAGAGGCTGCAGCCAACACTGCTTTGTGAGCCCTAAGTTCCCGGCCCTGCACCAAAAGGGACACATCACAGAACTTTCCCTCTAGTCTGTGACGGTTCAGGGCTTCCAGAAGCAATGAGCTATGCTGAGAGAACTCAATCTGGATGGTCCGTGGGGCTGGGTTGCAGTTTGGGGACGGAGGGACAGGAGGCAAAGATGCCGAGTTATCCATGGCCCCCTCGGAAGGAGATCTCTGAGGATTGGGTACAGGAGATGAGCTGTGGTAGACCCCAAGCCGGATGAAGGCTGTGAAGGAAAGAAATGGGAGGGTCATAGAAGCTCTGAATGACGGGACCGTGTCGCCTCAAACACCACATGCCTCCCCAACCCCCCAACACGTGGAAACTTTTCAGTCGGATTAGCTCCGCGCACTCCCCCACCAACAAAACAGAAACAACCAAAACCAACCGGGGATTTAACTTCCAGGGCCTGTGGAAGAAAGATGAGGTCCTTCAGCCACGAGCCTGACTGACCCCGTCGGCGCGGAACTCCGCCTGCCGCCGCTCCGTTTCCCCTACGTTGCCCACGGGGCCCAGCTCCCGGGAAGCCGGGGCCGCGGGAAAACCAAGAGCGCCGGACTGGCAGCCCTCAGCGCCTACGTAAGTATCGCGCCGCCGCGGAACGGAAGCCACCGCCTCTCCCCGGACGCCGACGCCGGATGAGGCGGGCGGGGTTAGGAACAGCCAATTGGAAGCCTACAAACTTCGTGTTGCTAGGTTGCGCGGGTGAGAAGGCGGTGCTGTGGGAGACAGTGCCCTGAGAAGCAGAGCTGGTCTTGCCGCGTTGGAGTGGTCCCCGCAAAGTACTACGCAGCCGGAGGACGACGAGTGAGCCGCTCTATATTAAATATGGCGTCCGCGTCCCGGTAGGTGCGAAGAGCGCGAGATTAAGTGAGCACCTTCAGTGTGGACCAGTCATTGTCCATATTACCCTATAGCCTACCCCCTCCCTGCGAGGCCAGTGTTGCCATCCTGTTCCCTGTGGCCCGCAAGTGGCGGGTCTGGAATTGGAACCCAACTTGCTAAGGAATCATGTTCTTCCCACCAGCAATTAAACCTTATTCTAAGTAATTATTTCCTTTAAGGAATGTATGTAGCTAGGTATTTGGAACCTTTTATCAGATAATGCGCCCTTCCTTGACCTGTTTACTTGGAGTTAAGTGAGACATTGGTGAGGAGAGAGCTAGACCGGGTGTTTGGCCCGTGCAAAACCCTGTCGAAACACAGCAAGGCCAAAATGGAATCACTTGTGCCAAGCCCATGTCTGCAAACTACGACGTAACACTTAACCTAGTTGCAGTTTCACTTTCTCCTCAGAATGTAACCCTTAATCAGTCAGCCTAGATTACCTCAAGTACTAATGAGGCAATTCGTCTGATCCCTTTCATGCCCCTTAGGAGGGCAACCTTGCCTAAACAATGCTTTCCTTGCTAGTGAGCCTCCTTTCAAAAATCAGGTATTATCACCCAGCTGCTGGTTCTTCCTGAGGTCCCAGCTTAGGTCAGCAAAACGATAAAAGAACAATCTCCGTTTATTAAACATGATTTTTCTGTTTCACCACACACTCCAGAAAAAAAGGAAATGGGGCTGGGAGTGGAGAAAAAGGGGCAGTAGTGGGGGTAAAGGAGTATGGGAGTGGAGTTAGGAAGGGAAGGAGAACCAGAGAAAACAAAACAAAACAAAAAACCAGGTAGGAAGAGCATCTCCCTACCCTTAGGGTGGTGGGTGGGGAGGGTAGCATGGGGGGAGGGGGCCAGGAAGCTCTGTACACAGGGGTTGCCCCCAGCCCCCCCACACACATCCCAAATATGTACAGTACAAACCCCAGATAATTACAACAGCCAAATAAGAGGAAAGGGGGTCCCAGGTAGGGTCTGAGGTTGGGAAAGCAAGGAAAGGGCACAGGGATAAAATTTCACATATTTACAACTTTTATATAAGTATAAATTTGGCCCCAGCTGGGTGTATGTGATTAGGAGGGGACTGAAGGGATAGTGTCCTTACAAAACAAAGGGTGGAGCCTGTGAAGTCTGAAACGCAAGAAGGGATGATGGGGCAAGGCTGGGTAGGGAGCAGCAGTCAAGGAAGAGCAGGTGTCAAGGAGGGGGATTCTCCCCTCCCAGGACCTACTCATCCCAAACCCCATCCATCCTACCTCCCCTATCCCGCCAGAGAGCTATGTACAGAGAAACACCGAAAAATTGTGGAGCTGGCGGGAGAGAGGTGGAGGGAGATTGGGCTGGGGGGGGGGGGGGGGGCGCGGGGCAGGGGATGAGAGGGTAGCCCAGCCCTGTCCTACATCCCCCAGGGGACAGAGCTATGGAAAGGGGCCCCCAGCACCCCTCTTCCACACAGGTCCCCCACCCTGGGGGAGAGAGACATGGCTTTTCCTAGAGTAAGTTCCCCCCTCCCCCTGGGAGTAGAGGCCAAGAGAGAGGGGAGGGGCAGGCAGGGACCGTGTCATGGTAGGGCAGATCAGCTAGTCTGTCCTCCCCAACATACACACCCTCCTAAACCCTAACCTCTCACTGTAACCTCAATTCCACCCCACCCAACACACTGGGGGAGGGGGGGGGCATCAGCCCCCTCACCCCGCTCTGGGACCAGCCAAGAGCAGATCAGGTGCAGGAGGAAAGGGAGACACCTCCCATTCCCCTCTTGCCGCCCCCACCCTGCCCCGGTGGCCCCACCAACCCATCTGGGTTCTGGGTGGGGAGGGAATAAATTTAATAGTAGTAGGAGGAGTTTGTGCGTGCTGAGCCCCCCCAGACGCTCCTGAGAAATCAAGGGGTAATAGGGCCCCCTCACCTGGGGTCCCCTCCCCATAACAAGGGGGACAGGGGAGGCCAAAATGGGGTGGTGGAGGGAAGTTAGATTGTCAGCTCTAGTTACTGCTAAAAAATCACCCTGAAGTTGAAAGTTTGGAGGTGCCACACCCCCAGGGTGGGTGTGAGGGTCTGTCCCCCAGTGCTCAGGGGAACGATGAGGCAGAGGATGGGGATAGCACCCCAGAGTGAAGGGGTCAGTGTGGGGTAGGCGGTGTCCTGGGGCAAGGGTGCCTGGGAGTCACAGGGGGCAGCACCCCAACAGGAGGGAAAGAAGGGCAGTTAAGGTTTCCTGCTTTCCCTCCTGGAAATGGTGCAGTGGGGGTGGGGGTCTGGTGCCCCCTAAGGAGGCATTCAGGGAGGCAATCCTGCTGTCTGTCCTTCAGCGACGTCCAGTCCTGGTGGTTGGTGCTGTTCCAGGGTGGGGTGCATGGGCAGGGAGGTCTGTGGTGCTGAGTGGGCTAGTGGTCTGCGGTGTTTCGGAACTCGCCGTTCTCGGTGATCTGCAGCCGGGGTGGGGGGGGCGGGGCTGGGGGGGCCAGACCGTTCCAAGGTGGGGCCAGCGTCACACGCGGGTTTGTTGGACCCAAGGGGGGAAGCTGCCTCTCCTGCAAGACACCAAAGAGGAGAGCGCGGACTTATTGAGACGCTTCGCGGGGGCCTGGGTGCCAGTTCCCTAACAACGTGGCCTGCCCCATAGCCAGCCCACTCTATAAGCCATGTCCCATCCCCTTCCTCCAGGACAACCCCACCCCGCTCCTATTTTGTTTCTCACCTTCAGTAGAAGTTACATCTTCTGGGATCAGGGAGAAGAGAACCTTACCCTAGATTCCTAACAGGGGCCTTCAACCCAGGAAGTCATACCAGGATACCAGTTCTAAAGAAGCAAATTTCTACTTCCCCCCATTCTCCAACCTAACCCTTGAGTCTTCCTCTGCCCAGCCCACCCTCCTCCTCTTGGAGGCTTCTCCCTGCCCACCCCCAATCCCAGGTAGGAACTTTGTGTTGTGGAAACAGGGAACGCAGTACAGCAAAACCTCATTAATCCAAACACCCATGGATTTGGAACTTTTTCGTAATTTGAATAAAAACTGGGGTTGAGTTTTCCTTTACCTATGAAAAAAGAGTGTGCTAAGCAACTTAATAGTGGAAATGTGTCTGTAGGAGGAACATTTAACCTATACCAGAAACAGACTTTTCAATACTATCTATTCATTAACGCATGCTCCCTAAGGGCCTCGAGTGGAAAAGCCTTATTCATTGAAGTTTACTTACTGTATATATTTTGAAGACATGCATTTCATTAAATAGACACTGTCATTCAGTTTTGTCACTTATTCAGAGTGGCCATCTTCTCAAATATAACATTCCAAATTAGAGAGGTTTAACTGTACTGGGGGGGAAAGGAAGGGGATTCAGGGAAGTGATGTGGGAGGGCTGCCTCTCTCTCTCATGCTAACCGAAACGACTAGGAGCTTCTGCAAGACACAGCATGCCCCAATCTCTGCACCCACAGGAAGCAGAATGCTTCATTCCTTTCCACCCCCACATTCCTTTCAATACCTCCCTGGGCTCCTACTTAAAAAGTGGGGCCTACCAGACCCTACTCCCATCCCTGGTCCTATTTTATCCCTTCCTACCACTCCTGGACCAACTCCTAGTTCCTGCCCTCAGCTCTGGCTTCTGTTCCTCTGCTGAGAGAAAAGAAAGCCATCTGTACTATACTTCTGGTTGCTCACTTGCCTTAAAATACAGGCAAAAAACTAATTTTTAAAATAATGCCTGAGTTGTACAGGCACCAATACTTAAACGTGGTTTGGCAAAATTTCCCAAATTATTTCCTGGGTGACAGGGCATTTAGGCCTGGCAACCTAGTTATGTCTGACCTTACCTCTAGAGGACACAAAATCATTCCAAGTATAAGCTCCCAAATCAGCCCTTTCTTCCAAATCAAAGAGCTCGCCTCCCAGAAGGTCACTAAAACTCCAGCCATAAGCAAAGCTGCCTTCTTAGCTTGCTAAGCATCTCACACACTTTCCACAAGTCAGCAAGAGAGGAAATGAAAGATGGTAGGGGATCCTGAGTATGGATGGAGAGCAGGGGAGGAAGTAAGCCTTATATTCCCTTCCCTCTGCTTGTGCAGGCGAAAGCACAGGCAAGCCCCTACACCCCCATGGACCCAAATTTAGAAAGTAGATAAATTAGGGTGCCATTATTCATTTTACAAAAGAATTCACTGCAGGAGTCTCTTAAATGGTGAGGTCCCCTGGTGCTTTTCAGCATCTGTTTACAGATCACCGACTACTTTGACAGAAAGGTTGGGCAGGCAGAGAGTTAAATTACAGTGTGAGGAGCCACTGCCCGCTGCAGATCAATCCCACAGAAAATAAACCATCTCAGAAATGATGTCAGTGGCCGACAGGTTCCCATTTATTAGCTTTTTAGGTAGGATTGTGTCTGGCAAGGCCATTGGGTGGTGGGAGACAGGGAGTGAGTGGCATTAGCAATCCTGGGATGTGAGCTCTCACAGAAAGACAGGTTATTTAACATGCTGTTCCTGGCATCTCTGCCTGGGAATCAACATGCCTACAGAGCCCATGATCTTATCTAGGAAGTCATCTCACCCCAGTTCCAGCCATGACACCACATGGGCCAGTCCACATTCTAACATCAGTCATAACTCCTTTCTTGCTGCTCCTTGTTCCACTCACCCTGCCTACTGTTCTGCCATCTGAAGAGCATTCTTTCCAGGCCCCCAAAGCCTCCCTGAGTTAACTAGCTCATCCTAATTCCTACCTACGAGGAGACCCAGATGCCTCCTACCTCACAGATGTAAGGAGAAGAGAGAGAAGCAGGTTAGAGGTAGAAGGAAGCAGGGATAAAGAACAAAGGTTAGGGAAGGAAGAGGAAACCCCAACCTACCTGCTGTAGTCAAAACAGCCCCTCTAGCCCAGGTCCCCCAATCCATCATCACAGCCAACCCTTAATCAACCCCACCCCCAACATCCCAACCCCAAGGACGCTCTGGTGAAATGGGGGGTGACAGACATACATTGGAGGAAGAGGACTAACAGTGAGGAGGAGGCTGGGGGTCGGTTTTGTAGGAAAGGGCGTGTGATCTGAGAATGCGCCGGGCCTGTCCAGATATCACTGGCATTGGTGAGGTATCACTGAACTGGCTGGGAGGCAGCAGGAAGTACTCTCTAAGCACTGCCTTCAGAGATGGGTCTGTGCAGGAAGTATCAGGAGGGCAAAGTCTGTGGAGGTTCAGGTGTGGAGGGCAGCAGCGAGGGGGAAGAGGCTGTGGAAAGTTGGAGGGGAGTGGGCTTCATGACCAACCTGCAGTGGTCCGGAGTCACCTCCCCCTGTGTCCTCCACCCGTGGTCAAAGCGGAACCAGAATTACCTGATGAGGAGCTGCAGGGGGAGAGAGTGGGGTCATGGGGTCAGGAGCCTTGGAGGCGGAGGAGAAGCCTGGCCTCAGAGCAGGAGGAGGAGCATGGGTGGGAAAGTGAGCAGAATTTGGGGAGAGCAGCGGGCAAGGGGACAGGAGGGAGGTCTTAAAAGCTGGCTGGTGAAAAGAGAGGGAGGGCAGCAGAGAAGAGTACAACTAGTCAGGCGTGAGGACCAGAGGGGGAGATGGGTTAAAGGAGGCAAACAGTGAGGGAAGGGAAAGCTTACAGGGTGGGAGGAATCAAGATCTGAAGGGTCAGGGAGACTCTATGTGGGGGCTGCCTAGGAGTCAGGGAAATTGGGGAGCCAAGAGGACCATCGAGAGCCTAGAGAAACTACAACTCATGTTGCCTTGTGCTCTATGCTAGTGAAATGCAGCTTTTAGCCCTCCTGGCCCCAGAAGGACTCAGAGGAAGCTGAATTCTGTGACTGAACAGGAACAGGTACAGAAGAGGATTCTAGGAACTGGGTGTAGTCTGGGGCAGAGACAGGTTCTGGTAGGTCCTGAGACACAGACAGAAGTAGGAAAGACAGGGTGGGAAGGAACGGGGAGGGTAGGGCTGACACTGCCAAGAGTGACAAAGGCACAGACGATGGGATGAAGATGGGGTCACTGAAAGGCGAGGCTGCTGGGAGCAGCCAGTGGACAAACGGAGGACAATGAGAGAGACAGACAGCAATGGGGCTGGGATGTGGGTGCAGTGAGTGCACGAAGGACTGTGGGATGGATGGGGATGGGACACAGAGAAGATAAATGACATTGTAATTTCCACCTGAGCGTCGAGCAGCCTCTTCTTGGGTTCAGGTAGCGGCTCAGCCATGGTGGGGTGGTCCCGGCGCAGCTCCTCCTCCACCAGCATCAGCCTGAAGGGACGGGCTTCAGTGGGGTTAGTGGCGGGCACTAACCTGCCCATAGAACTCCAGACCCCAGGGAACCCATACACCTCTCAGGCATCCTCCTCCCCTGCCCTCAGAATCCCTCCATTGTCCCTGTTACTCACCCTCCTCTCAGGAGGGACAGCTTTCTGAGCCTCACAGACCTCTACCATCCAGATACCCCTGTCCCTCCACCCTCGTATTCAGGACAGGCCCTCTGGCTGAATATCAGAGAGGGGGGCTTCCACGCCCCCCATGCCAGTGCAGTGAGCCCAGGCCATCTGCTGTGCAGCCGCGGTGATGCCCCTCTGAGGGATCTCTACAATCATTATTATTCTAGCATTTCTCTGCCTTTGATAAGAGATTCTCAAGGTGATTTCTCATAAGGGACAGCAATTAAGAGCAGTGGTTTTCAAAAAAAGTTTCAAATGAAGAAGCCTTGTTCTTCTAATTAATCTTACTCAACACATTTAGAATGAATCAAAATGGAGCTGGCTCTGGTTGGAATATGGCCCAGGGTCCCACCCAGTTCTCAAGATAACTGAGAAGCTCTGCAAAGCAGCTGAGAACATGCACAGGCTTTATAAAAGAAGGGGTGTTCCTTTTCTATGGAACACCCTGCCAAGGCTGGAGAGGAAGGGGTGGCCTCGGATGGGACGGTCAGAGGCTACCCTGGCCAGGGATCCCTACCCAGGTTTGAGGTGACTATCACGGGCTGTGTTGAAAGTAACCAGTGGGGAGTCCCCACCTAGGCTGGGTCCAGACACATAGTGACTGATGGTTGGATAGTAACAAGCACATTTTCCAAGGGCTTCAGAAATTACTCTATCAGGAGAGAAGCGAGAGTATAGTAAAGGGACAATTACACTAAGCAAGAGGTTTCCTCCCTTCTGGTGATGGTAAGTGTAGGGAAGTGTAAGTGTCTGGAGCTTGGATCTGAGGGCTCTTTCCATCCTCAGGCTTTCCCTTGCTACCCCTCCCCAGGCCGCCCCTCACCTGCCAATGATGCTCTTGATCTGTGAATCCTTCTCCACCTGCTGCTGCCTTAGCCTCTTCTCGCTCTGCTCCAGTCGGGCCTGGTACTGCATCAGGATTTTGCTAGTCTGTTCTTCCTGGGACAGCAGCCTCCGCTCATACTCTTCCAGCTTCCGGTTGGACATGTGCAGCCGCTCCTTCAGTGAGTGGATCTCCTCCTCATACTCCTTCACCTGCCCATCGGGCATACAACCCCGCACTGTGAGGGATGCCCTGCCCTGACTCCAACACCCAGCCTCCATCCCTCCATCAGCTGCTGCTGGATGAGCAGCATCCCAACCACCCCCTTCAGCCCTTTCCCTGCCTGTTGAATATACATACACACCCACTTTTTTGAAGGCCCTTCCATGGAGCTGAGGATCTCTCAAAATGGAGCATGGTCATAGACTCCCACACCCTGAGAGGTATATACATGTCCTCACATGTGTACCTGGACAAATGAGGACCCACACAGCAACCTAGACAGACTCGTGGACACAACTTGAATGACTGTACCCAGAAATTAAAGCTAAGGTGACTCGTTGGTCCCAACCCAGGCCACAGAGCACATGGGGGAAGGAGAGACACTGGCAAGACACTGGCTGGGGAGAGAAAAGACTCTACCCTGGACAGAGAGTCTGGACATCAGGTAAACCCAGGCTGGGAATCTATGAATGCCTCTGTTGATAATGACCCTTGAATCCTGAGACTGGAAGGACGCAGAAGAGTCATTTTATGCGCCCTATTGGCTCTAACATCTGGAGCTGTGCTATTCAATACAGCAGCTACTAGCCACATGTGGCTATTTAAAAATTAAACTAAAAATTCAGTTCCCCAGTTACTACCAGCCACATGTGGACAATGGCTACCATACTGGACAGAGAAGATCACAGAACATTTCAACCACTGCAGAAAGTTCTACTAGACAGTATTAGTCTAGAGCCTTCCTCAACAAAGATTCCTCATGTGAACCACAAAAAAAGAAAAAGACTCTTTTCTCATTCTCTGAAGCGTGTACACACATAACCAACCCTATCCTAGAGGCCAAGATGTTAACTTGCTACCAGTAGGGCTTAATTCTTTCATGGGGCTTGCTGAACCAAGCCCATCTAACTCAGTCCCAACATTTTCCTATACTCAAACCCCAATCCTCCCAAGCAACCTCTCTGCTCCCCAAATTGGAGCCCATACATTCTCAACATTAACCTAATTCTGCAGCCACACTCGCCTTCAGGGTTCTTGGAGCAATGGTTTCACTACGGAACTTTCCACTAAGTTATTTGTGTGTGGCCCAGAGCTCCTACTGTGTCTTTTGCTCCAGGCCACCACCAGCTGAGAGTCTGAACAGTCTTTCCACACATGGGCCAATACACACCACTTTGCAACACCAACCCGCTGTCACCCATGCCCACTGAGCAGAGACTGGGTCAACCAGACTTTGCTTATAGTATAATTGCAACTCCTCTGCTCCCGCCCAATTTATCAGCTCACACTGTTAGTATGGTAACTTCCCTTTTCCTGAGCAGTCATAAGAGCCAGGGCTTATGCTCTCCCTGGGGAAGAACATGGAGGTAAGCCTAATACAGAACATTTCCCCCCACACAGACTATGATGTGTTACAACCCATAAAATAAAAAGCTGGAACTGAGTTTTCGACAGACTGATTGCACCTGGTCTCCCCCAACAGACTAAGTCTTCCCGAGAGGGTAACAAGTCTGTCTTTTCTTCCCACCATAACTACCCAATCCTGGATGGTTCCCTTGGCAATGACAAGAGCCCTCCCCTGTGGGTAAAAGGATGGGCTTGGGGCTGGCGTACCCTGTCCAGCCGGCTCTCATCCATCGACTTAGAATACTCCTTGAGCTTGTACTCTTCCCTCTCAATATGGGCACTTTCGATGTCAGCCGACAGGTGAGGCATATTGGAGACCCAGGCCACTGTCCGCTCAGAGGCTGGCATTGTGGGGTTCAATGTGGATGGTGTCTGAGAATGCTGAGACACGGTGAGGTAGGGACAAATAGAGAGGAAAGGTGGGAGAAGGCAGGGTGCATTTAGAGTAAGCACTAACAAGAGAGGAGTCCCGATCCCAGTTCCCTGCTCTAGCTCTGAGCACCTTGTAAACGCTGTGCAAGTTATTTAGCCTATCTCCCCTTGGAACGTGAACTCCATGACAGCAGAGATTTTTGTTCACTGCCAAATCCATAGTGCTTACAATAGCACATGGCACATAGCAGGCACTCTACACACATTTGTTTAACGAGTGGAAGGTGGTGAGGAAACTGTAAATTTGGACCACAAACTAATCTACCTTCACCTCCCCAATCCATTTCCTTCTTCCCTTCCTGCCTTTCTTCCACCTTCACCTACCTGCTTGGTAATGGAGGGCTTGAGCCCCCCACCCCCTCCGCCACCGCTGCCCCCGCTGCCCCCAATGCTGCCCTCCTTGCTGAGGCTCTGTTGCCGTGGACGAGAAGGGCCGTAACTTGGCTCCGGCGACTGCAATAGATTCCCGCTGGATGGCCGGGGTTTCTGGGCAGCACTGACCGTCAACTGCTGAGACTTGCCCCTCTGCAATGGAGGCGGCTGGCCCCCGCCACCCCCACCACTGACCCCTCCACCGCTCCCACCTCCAGGCCCTGAGGGGCCAGGCCTCTGAGGACCAATGGTGATCTGGGGAGGGGACAGCATGTGCTGCAGGTTGTCCTGGAGTGAGAGCTGCCGACGAGTGAAGTCAGTACCAGAAGGTCCAAACTCATCACTGTAGCTGTGACTGTGAAGGATGGAAGCGGCAGGGGGCTTGGGGACCCCTGAGGAGAGGTCCTCGCTCTTGCTATAGCCATGGAATGGGGCAAAGGTGTCCCCTGGGGGCTCTCCACCTCGGTGGTGGTGATGGTGGTGATGGTGGTGATGGGAGGAGGGTGGGCCATGGCCACCACCCCCTCCATGGCCCCCTGGGGGACCTGGCCCATCAGCAGCCATGTGGAAGAGAGGGTTCTGGAAGGAGAGGGGGATACGAAGTTGCTGGGCAGGGACACCATCCGTGGTGACACCCATCTGGCTAAGGCGCATGCCAGCCGCTGTGATAGACGAGCCACTCCCCTGGGAGAGGCGTCCAGCGGGCGCAGGCCGCAGCCCCAAGGCGGCTGTCAGGGAGGCCTGGCTTGAGTGCAGCAGGTCCCCGACGGCTGCCAGGTTGGATACGCTGCTGCTGTTGAGGCGGCCACTAGGCCCGTCACCCTGCAGATCCAGCATGGAGACACTCTTGTTGACACTCAGCATCTTCTGCTCTGGCTCTGTGATATCCGAGCTGCTCGTGCAGTATGCTGGCGAGGAACGGGCCAGGGGTGGACGGCTTACATAGAACAGGTCTTTTCCCCCACCAGGGGGTGGTGGGGGTGGCTTTTCCTTGGTTGGGGAGGGGAGGCGAGCCATGTCCATAGAGCTGTTGAAAGGGAAGGGGCACACGAGCCGGAGGTAAGGCCAAAGCTCCTGGCAATCGAGCATGCTGTGGTCTGGCACAGACCTTGAGGTGAAAAGTGGGACCCGCAGGGAAGGGCTGAGAGCTGGTGGTGGCAGCTCTGGACAGGGCAGGAAGGATGGGAGGGGATACATGGGAAAAGGAAAGGACAAGGCCCCTTTGGGAAGGGAGTGAGATGGGGGCAGCAAGAGGAGGTATGAGGGTCAAGTCTGGGCAGATATGGAGGAGGTGAGGGTGCACGGCGGAGGAGAGGAGGGACGTGAAGGCCACTGGAGTGGGAGAAGGGGAGCAGACAGGAGAGGAGGGCGGGGGAGGGGAGAGCCCCTCACCTGTTGAGGCCTCGCGCCATGAAGGACTGAAGGTCGATAGAGCTGGAGAGAGATGGAAAGAGGGGCAAGCACAGACAGAAAGAGAGGTGGGCAGAAGGTATGGATGAACGGAAGGAGAGGCAGGAATAGTGGAATGGATGTGGCATCATGGAGGAAGAGACACAGGCAGAGGAACAAGCAGGGCAGTCATCAAAATGATGAGCAGCAGCTGAGGCGAGCACTGCCCATCAGAACAGCTGCAGTGGCTTGAGAGGCCCTGCTAAGGTCCAGGTGTTACTTCTCTAGCCCTGGGTGGTGGCAAGGTCTGTGGGATTCTGGTGGGGCTGAGGCAGTTTGGACACTATATGGCTGATCCAACATGTGTAGGCTGAACCTTAGCTCAGGGACAGGCATGGGCAAGCATGGGGACAAAGCAAGTCAGAGCTGGCAGTGGGACCCCCTAGGCTTACAACAAGCTGGAGCTCGAGGAGCCCTTGCACTTTTCGGGGGCCCCACGTTTCTTGTTCCATCTCACTTGAAGGGGCTCTCACAGCCTAACCACTGAGTGTACCTGTCTCCTTACTATTTTCTGACACCTGCTTCTTTTTCCTTTCTTTCAAGCCCTACAGAGGCGCACATGGAGCCCAGTGAAGTCTACTGGAAACAGAAAAGTAGAGGCCCTAGGGCACAGCTGTGAGGGTCCCAAGGTGCTCACCTGTTGAGGTCCCGCATCATGTAGCCCTGCATCTCGGCCGATGGGCCCCGAAGCACCACAGGCTGAGGCCGGGGTCGGTCGCTTTGACGGCTTGGCTGCCTTTGGATATTGGGGTTCCTCAGAGCTGTACTGATGTCATTGAGGAGCCGGGGCAGTGGGCCCAGCTTCAAGAGAGCATCCTGTAAGGGTGAAGTTGTTACCTGGGCACTAAGTGCCCAGCTCCATGAGGGCCTCAGGGTGCACATGGAGGGTACGTGAGCTGGGGAAGTGGTGGTGACACATCTGGGAGCAAGGATGGGAGAAAATTCTGTGCAGGTGGGGGTCTCTCAGGCCACAAGAGCCTCTGGAGACAGTTGGGGATGAGATGAGGGGGCATTCGCTGACCTTGCTGAGCTGGGGCAGCACCTCCCAGAGCAGAGCATGCAGTGTTGAGAGCTCTCGGCCCAAGTCGATGTAACCCTCAAAGCTACTGCTATTGGTCAGAGTGTCTAGGTTGGAGATCTCATACAGGAACTGCTGCATGGAACCCCACTCCAGCTCCAGAAACTCATTCATGAATCCCAGAAAG